GAAGGCCGGCGGCCGCATGGCAGTCAACGTGTTAAAATAATATCTATTTTTTCCACCCTTTAAGTACATATTTTCAAATGTAAAAATTAAAAAATATGTACCATTGTTTTTATAACCAATAATTATATTTAGTGTATTTAGAATTTAACTGAATTTGGGTTCCTACTACATATACAATGTATTTATATATTTTTAATGACATTAAAAAGTAAATGGAACTTACCTTAATAGGTAATATTCAAAAATTCAATTTGAAGCATAGTTGTATAGTTGCACCTGATCTTCCTGGATAACTAATGGCAACTTATAATAAATAAATTCTAATTTTCATTAAATATTTCTCCTWTAACCAATAGCAACCATTTATAGACAAAAATATCTACTGAACATAATAAAATACCTCGTTTGAGTACCTTCTCGGATGATGGTAGGAGAATGAAAATTCTTTACGGCCTATTCTCAGAACTACTGAATAAACACAATTTCATGAGAATCGGTCAAGCCATTTCAAAGGAGTTTAGTTACAAACACCATCACATGAGAATTTTWTGTATAAGATTTTCTTTTTAATGAAGTTATTTAATACCTAATATTTAATAATCTTAATGTATTTGACAATAATTATATTATTTATGTATCAATACAACATTTATTTGCCATCAGTGTTGTCAGATATCTGATGTAATAAGTTTTATTTCATAATACTATATTCATAGCAAAGRAGTTGCACACCATTTGTGGCCATTCTAATTTATCCACACCATACCAATTTTGTTGGGTAGAACCAACCAAATATGTAGTCAAAAAAACTTCTCAATTATAGCCATTAATCATGACAAAATATTAAAATAATATTTACCATTTCAGGCAATTGATCTACAATTATCCAGAACAACTTTTTGCTGATGCTGGTATAATGGCTATTGAGCATGCTGATTTTGATGGCATTGAACGTTTAGCACTGGTCACTGGGGGTGAAATTCTATCAACTTTTGATTCACCTGCTATAGCCAAGTTGGGAACGTGCAAACTTATTGAAGAAATAATGATTGGTGAAAGCACTTTATTGCRWTTTTCTGGTGTGGCTCTTGGTGAAGCTTGTACTATTGTTATTCGTGGAGCGACTGAACAAATTATCGATGAAGCTGATCGTTCTTTACATGATGCCTTATGTGTTTTATCATCTACTATTCGTGAGCCAACTATTGTCTATGGCGGTGGATGTAGTGAAATGTTGATGGCAAATGCTGTAAGCGCTGAAGCAGCAAAAACTCCAGGCAAAGAAGCTGTAGCTATGGAAGCATTTTCTAGAGCACTACAATCTCTTCCCATCACTATTGCTGACAATGCTGGTTTGGATTCAGCAGAATTAATAAGTGGATTAAGAGCTGCTCATGCCCTAGGCAAAAACAGTTCTGGTCTAGGTCAGTAAACATTTGGTACATTTTATTAGGCACAATGTTTATGTTAT